GACCCTCTGGTCTAGCTGAAATACGTTTTCCCTGGGAGGGTGTAAATTACCGACATTGCTTACCTGTGAGAAGGAGATCTGGCTACCGGCACTACACCCGTGCCAGGCAGAACCCCATGAATGCTCCTGGGCTGCGGGCCATGGCCTCTGCGCCTCCGGGGCGGTGAGGGCCTCCAGTGTCCCTGCCCACCGACTTGTTGCTGGGAATATCCTCCTTATCACAACAGCCAAGTGTTTCTGATTCAGCATGGCAATAAAAGGACAGCTGTCAAGCTCAGTATTTAAGTGCTTTGGGCAAGGCTTGCTACAGGATGCTAAGAATTGGGGCGCTGTGTGTGCTTTGCCGTTCCCTGTGCACGCCATGGGTACAGAGTCACAGCCAGTAGCAGTGGGGCATATGAGCAACCCAAGCCACTCAGCGTTTTGCAGCCTACCTCTACAAGAGCTGGGACTATACCAAATAATACTCAATTCATTATTGTTAAATAGAACTGAGTTTCTCTTTAGCTCATTAATTCACTTGTGACTTCAACTGTCTTTTATTAATGTCTTCCTATGTCTCTTCTCTGCTCTTTGGAAATCATTTTCATTTTTGGTAATCAGGCTGGTAGTCAAAGCCTCCAGTTCCAGACACAAGCTCCCACTCACAAAATCCCTGAAGAGTTGATGGCTGGAAGCTGGGAGGATCTGCCAGGGAAAGAAACACTGAACTGCCCCTGTTCAAGCAGTCACTGCTGGCTGCTCTTACGAGCCGGCAACACGGATCTTTACTCTAACTCAGTTCTTACGTTCACAAGTAAAGTAGATGGGGAAAATTTATGGTTTGAAATAATACATTTAATCATGTAAACTATAGTTTGAGATGTGTAATATGTTTTAAGACAAGGGATAGATTTCCTATTCTTATTTGGCTCTGAAATGCTATAGGAAGGGAAACAGTCAAGAACAGACAAAAAAAGTTGAGTGTCTCTAATGTTTTGCTTGTTGAAAAATCTGGGCTCATTATTCTTGCATAATGTTATGCATAATGATTTTTTGAGCCCATAAAAAGCAATAATGTGGCTTGTGGAATGAATCTGTAAGTATATTCACAGGTTTACTCTGCCATTATTTAACCGTGTTTATCTCAGAGACTCAGAACAAGAGTTTCAAAAATATTCACTGTTGGCCTAAGGCTAGTTTAATTTCTGTTAATGTAAATGTCCCACCCTGTGTAAGTTCTTTCTGTAGGCTGTTGGATGAATTTACCTCAGTGGTGTAGCAATGGCATTTTCAGTTTTAAAAACACTCTAAAGTAGTCTGATTAAAAGTAGGACTACTTTACACATCATGCCAACAGCCTAATCTGTAAACAACTGCCTAATAAATATTTACTGGTTCAGATTTGGGATTCTACTTCTACATCTGTCCTCTCAAAACAGAAATGTGGGTGATGAAAGACCCTCCTGAAGGTTACCTTGGTTTGAAATCAGTTTGTCTAACTTTGGTGTCTCCCAGCCCAGGTTTGCTTAGCTGCTGGGTGTGCTGCCACTCTGAGCTTCCTTTTTCTCTCCAGCAAAGCACCTTATGGTCCTCACATGTACGGGCAAAACCCATCTTGTCATACAGGTAACTTATGTGCCAGGGGCTTCTGCAGCTGCAAGAGAAAGCGGAAGGAATACAAGTGATTATGTGAGCCTAGGCCCACGCATGACCATGCAGGAGCCTCAACTGTAGCCACCGGCTGAGACTCTTTGGCCTGTGCTTTGTGCATAACCTAGCGTGTCCATTTGTACAATTAATAAAATGACTGGATAGCAGCTAACCCATGGTAAGCTTCTCTCTCTCTGATTGGGTTTTTTTGAAGGCTTCTTAATTTATTTGTATGATTTTCAGTATAAGTGTTGGTAGGATACAAAGTTTCTTTAACATTGGGGAAGTGTAGCAGCTGCTGCAACATGTTCACACCAGACTGTGCTAGGTCTCTTGGGCTTGTGTTTATTTTTAAACTGGTTGTATACAAACATACAAATCTAGGTGACATGGATAGTGAAGGTTGAATTACACAAAACAGCCATACATGAGCATTTCCATGTGGCATAGCCCCAACCAGAGAAGCACTGCAAGAAGACTTCCATGCAAACCAGAGAAAGGAAAAGACTATGTGCAATATGGGGACTTTATCTGTGTGTTCAGTGTCCATCTCCCTAGGTTTCTTTTTGATTTTGGCCATATGCCTCCTGTGCCTGTGTGACTAACCCCCTGGGGCCAGCCATGGCTAAAGCAATCTTTGCTTTGGATTTCTCTGAAGTGAGAAAAGCAGACAGGGTAAGAAAATGCCAAGCATTTTGGCGGAGCTAAGTGCTATGGGATTTCTTTCAAAACTAATGATTAACAAATGTTAGCTAACACTTTTTGGAAACTTCTTTTCTCTAATTCTTGCAAGGATCAGTTTGAGTCTGGAATATTAATAGGAACATTAATCCACTCATGCATAAGCTAATGTAGTACCTGGATGGAAATGTCTGCTGGTATGGGGAACAACTCCCCTGGCGACTGTGGACATGGCCAGCCCTGCCCTTCCTCAGCGCTACCGCTCGCCCCGGCATCTCCAGGGAGGAGCGACACAGCTGTCCAGCCAGGACTTGGCTCTCCTGCCTGGTACAGGCCACCTCCAGCCACCTCTTCGCTCCCCTTCCCTTTCTGTCACTTCGCCTCTGCAAAGTGCGGAGGCCAGCCCCCCCCTGCGCAACTCCGATTCAGGCTGCTGAGAAAGATGTGAGACACTGTGGCGGGAGGTCAGCGATGCAAAACTACTGTGGGGGGCATGGCTGGGCCCCATGGTCGGCACACCAGCGTTGGGGGGGGGGTGGCAGGAGGCAGCTCAGCGCCTGGGAGGCTCTGGTCCAGGGGACTGTGGAGACCGACCCTTCTCCCCCTGTCTGCTGCCCACCTGGGCAGCAGAGGGACTCGGGGGGTGGGCAACGTGCTAATGCTTAGCTTAGTAGTTTGCCAGATCCCATTTTTAAATGTGTGTTATGTAATAAATGATCACTCTATGCTTTTGAGTCGTGCGGGTCCTGTTTGCAGAGTCTCTTTGTGCCTGGTTAAAGATGCCCAAACCAACTGACCCAAAGGAAAGGCCATAGCACATTTGAAACTAGGGCCTACTTGTGTTCACCTTCCCAGCCCAGGTTTTCTTGTGCTGGTGGGGCAGGTTGTTCACCCAGCTTGGTAAAGCACATTGCTCTTCTCCACAGACATGAGACTCCCCACAGCTGGTCTTTTAGTATCTCTGCATGACCCTGGTAACTTCACTGACTACAAAAGAAGATCCTTCTTCCCTTTGATCTCATACCTCCAGCCTCTGTTACTTCATCAGACTCTTTAGTGTAAATTATTAATGTATATAAATTATTAATTTGCATCGATGGTCCAGAAATGCTACACTAGTAAAAAACCCAGAAGCTTAATAAGTAATTATGAAGGAACAACTCTACAGTTATCCCAGACGAAAGTGGTCTTCCAATAGTCTGAAGTTATAGGATAGCAACAAGACAAAATGATGCAAATTGATCTGTGGCTTCTTTGTGCGTATCTTTTGTGTGACTCACTAAATCCAGTGATGTCCAGTAACATGTTTAGTCTGTGTTATTCTGAAAGTAATAAAACCTCATATACTGAAAATGCAAAAAATGTCTAGTATATAACTAATTCAGTTAATTTCCAGTCTCTCCAAAAAGTGCAGAACTTAATTTCCTTTTTTATTATCTTCTTTTAAGGTACAAATTAAGTGGGTGTCCTCTGTATTTCAGTGCCTTTCCTGTAGTTCTAGAAAAATTATTACTATATCTACACAGACAATTATAGAATACATACCTAATAAAAATGCCAGGTAATTTACAATAAATGTTAGCTTGATGAGCAATTAATCTATTTCTATACGTCTGATACATCTACCACTAAAAGCAGTTTCATGTGTTTCCTTGATTAACACATTTTCAGTGGTTTAAGTGTAATGGAGCTATACATATTAGAGACCTGTCCTGCACTTGAAGTTTTGCCAGGAAGGGTGAAGTTAATATCTGGATTTACTAAAAAATTCATCCATTTTTTCCTTGTTGCATCTTCACTTCTGAAACATCTTCCTTACCTTTGCAGTATTATTCACTTAGGCTGTTGGTTTAGCCATTCTCCACATATTCCCTTTGTTAGCAATCATTCTACAAATAAGGTTATCCACCCTGGTGCAGTGGTACATCTCATTTTAGATCATAATGGTAAATCTGCTTTTAATTTATGTAGTTACCATATTTACTTGATGATTCTGCCTGGTTTTGCATTGGATTTTTTTTATATAATTAACCTAAGTAAGTTTGCTGATGTTACCCATACAAAGAATAGACATTTCATTTCCTCTTACCCATGATTTGTATTCCAATTTCCTGTACTTTACAAGCATAAAGTAAGGCAGCCAGCAGCTCGGTGCTGCAGCCATCACATTCAGCCATTTGCAACATTCAGTCATCCATTCATTTCTGGAGGAGGGAGGTTTGTTTCCCACTCCGCTCCGCTGGCTGGCAGCATTCATACCCCAGAATTTAAGATTATTTAATTATTTATTTTCTGTAGTGCTCTGTGCACATTTAAGGATTTGACTATTTAGTCCACTTTGATTTCTAGACACAGAAGTTCAGCTGACCTACACAATGATAAAATGTATTAGTGACAGGAGCTTCAAATGCACACTTTGTTTCTTTGCTTCTTCCTGCTCCTCTACAGATCATCTCCCTGAGCTTTGCCTTGACATAAGCCTCTATCCTGCAATATTTCTTGTTGCCCTTTACTTCACTGCTGTGCCAGAGCAGTATTTCACAGCCACATGCACGTTCAGCCTTCCCTCTCAGATGTATTTGATTGGAAAACGTGACAGGGAAATGGGACGTTTGCATGTACAGTACGTCTGAGTGACCAACATGGGTGTGCAGCATTTGACTGACCAGATGCAGAGAACTCTATCATTTTGCTTAATTTAATCCTTTATTATTCTAAACATTTGGACTTATTACATCTTTTTTTTTACCCTGGCAACTACACTTGAATTTTATCAGTAGCTGTCGGCATTTCTTCTTGGTTTTGTTTTTCTGTTACGTTGTGGTTGTCTGAGTTATGACTGAAGTTAAATCATATCATGTTTTCTTCTTCTGACTGTTTCAGTGCCTAAAGTTTTCTGTATAGCTGGGGAAAAGAAGAATTAAAAAAAGGATTCTGAAAGTGCAATGCTTTTCCTTTTAATTCAAATTGTAATTTTGCTAAAAAAACCCACCAGAATCTCTAGAGTCATTCCTGACCTCAAAACATCTCTGCCTTTCTTATTTGAAAGAAAAACTCATTTTATTTCAAATAACCTTCTACTGAAATCCTCATGTGTCGTTTCTTAATCAACCCCTTTTAAATACCCTAATTCTGTACTTTTGATTGGTTTAATCCTTAATCACCAAGAGCAAAGGGGGAGTCTTTATTTTTCAGCAATGAGCAGAGTCCCTTGCAAGAAACAGTTCCATGTCCCAGTCTCTGCTAATGCATTCTGCGTACAAGAGTCACTAAACAAAGCACGTAAACAGCACTGGCAGCAGGGACCAGAACTCAGCAGTCAAACTCCAGCCTCTTGCTGAAGAAGTATTTGCTTATCAATGCCAGAGTGCCCTTTTTGCTATGCCAGGAATGGCAGGCATATCACTTTTTGTTTTCCTATGTGCTGTCCTAATTATTACTCCACTATGAGTGTGTTTTATTTCTCAGCCCAGCCATCTCTCAGGACTGATTTTCATTCAGTACAAATGTTCTCATTGTAAAGACTTAACATGAGGAGAATACAAATGAGAAAATGAGTGCACACTAAGAACTTGCTTATACAGAAACTGTACGATCAAAGGAACAGCAGAGTAAAACACATGTCAGCATTAATGTGCTCCTATTTCCAGGGTTCAGTTTCCTTTCCTGTAAGAATGGTGTGAGTCCTTGCCTCTGAAACCAGGCCAACATAGTCATTTTGTTTAACTGAAATAAAAAGTGCAAAGCATTTCTATAGAACATTTTAGTATGGCACTAATGAGCTCTTTGAAAGCAAATGCACCTTCATCAGTTTCAGAGATTACCCCTTATTACCATGTTAAAATTTATGAATCAAAACTCCAAAAGGTTTTCAGAAATTAAATTACATGACTATGACTTAGAACAATTTTCATAAAGCTAAAACAACACTTACTTTATCCAACTGCCTACTAATCATGCAGCTGACCCACTCACCGTCTCAGTCCTGGGAGAGTGCATCCCTCGGGAACTGCTTTTGTCTGGTGGCTTGGGCCATCTCCGCTGCCTCAGGATCAGAGAGTAGTCATTTCTAGATGAAGACTTCAGCAAACAGCCATGCAGGCCATCTCTGGCAATTCAAGACCAAGACCAGAAGTGTCTCTGCAAAGACATCAACCTCTTTGGGACTTCAGTGACAACTTCCCCCTTCCTCCAAAGGGATGGAAACAGCTGAAAGCTACAGCACTGATTCAGTCCCTCATTTTCTCAGGCCAAGACAATATGCCATTAACAGCTGAACAGAGGCAGAGGGCATTCACAGATAAAAGACTGGTTTGAAAAAAGATTATGCAAAACAAAGTCCCAGGCTAGAAGTAGAGTGAAGCAACCCTCAGGTGTCCAGCTGCCAGGCTCCACCTGAGGCAACCGGATTCCCTCCTGGCTTCCACGGGGCTGCAGCTGCTTCTGCAGGTAGTATTTCATCTGCAGTGAGAAAGTTTCAGTTTACACTTCATTTCACGAGCATGTTCTTGGATACAACTGAATTTAAAAAATAAATGTGTGTTTTTACAAAACTTCAAATTACAGGCTCTACTGAGAGCAGTGGCTTTGCTCTTCTATTTTTCCTGCTTGCTGACTACGTAAATGTGTAGAATATCTCTTAAGACTTCTATAAAATCAGAATTCTAACAAGAATATATGAGTCATGTCTAGACTGACATGAAAATGAAACAGCATCATTCTTGTCACCAGAATGAAGCATGACTGACACTCTTTGATCCATGACACACTCACATGGCCTTCAGGCTAAAATAGCACACACAAAAGCATGCAGTTATAATCAGAAACTTCTATAAATATAGAACATGAAGCCTCTTGAATACTAGCTTCCAGGTTATATAGCCTTGCCATGAAGTAGTATTTTACCACTCAAAGCATCATGCTTACCTCAGTAGGGCCATTAGTAGATACAGGGCACTATATAGTGTGGGTCCCAGTATCTGTATATCTGGATAGGGTGTCTGAATCTGACCTTCAGCTACCAATCCTTTTTAGATTTATATCACCTTCAGTCAACACAGAAACACTAGTTTCCTTTGCACAAAGATCTTGATGCACATTAATCTGCTGCATTACCATCTAGCTACCAGTCTGAGCATCCTTATGCCATCTTCCTGTATCGGAGAACTGGTGTCTGTTGGTCAGGACTTACATGGATTTACTGATCTCTCCGGTTACTCTGCCAACTCTTAGACACCTCCGATGCCCAGCTCAACAGTGCAGACAATTTATGGCAAGTGCAGCTCAGGTATCAAATGTACAGCTTCTGCGACCTTTGTGCTCTACTCCTAGACCAAGCGTAGTTGTCAGGAGCAGTTTCTCATTGGGTCAGGGGCAGTCCAAAGACTTTTCGCCAGACTAGTCCCGGAAGCTGAGCTACTGATTTTTTTTTTAAACCTGTTACAGACATCTCTACAATCAGCAGTGTAGAAATACTCTTGAGCGTGAGCAAGCTAGAAGGTAGAACTGAAAGAAAGCACGGTCAAACTCGCACCATCTGTTTGGAAATGCCAACACTTTCCCAGAATAACTTGCGCCTCACTACCTCACGACTCATTAAACTCAGTTTTTGATGTTGAAGAGTGGATATAGAGCTCTAGGAGGTTGTACCAGTACTTCCTTCTAAACCCATGCTGCCCAGAATATAAATTAATCCCTAGAGTTTCATATTTTTGCCAATTAAAACAGTGATGACTTGGGACTAGTTTATCACATGAATTTCTTCAGGTCATTTCAGCACCCAAGCTCTAGATCTTGGCACAGCACCCATAGTCAACTTAATGGTGTGATTCATATAAGCACTGTTTCTGCCAATCCTGTTACTTTCAAGTACTTAATTTTATTAAAGTTCATTTGGAGACGGGTGAAAATGTACATAGAGTGCAAAGGAAAAAAATACTTTATTGTGAACATGGCATGTATGAGACACCCTTCAGAATATACTGTTATATATCATATGAGGAAAAAAAAAGAAAGCACTGACGCATGAGATAAATGACCAGTGCTTGAGATCAATGAAAAATACACACACAGCTGTTCTGACAGCACAATTCTGGTATCAATCACAACATATATTACATAGCTTTTATGATCAGAGGCAATTTTAAACAATGTTCATAAAAAATGCAAATATTGGACCTACTCCTGCATTGTTGTACATCCAAAGCTTCTGTGAATCTTGCAGGTATGTGGAAGGAAAATAAGAGCAAACTGACACCCCACCTCAGGCAGCAGAAGGTAGAAATGGAGGAAACATCAAAAAGAAAATACAAAAACACCGTTCTAAAAAAGTAAAAATGCAAATATTATCTAAAGGAATATTATTATTTTCACAAGAAACCTTAATTGCAGCATCCTGACTCCATTAAAGCCAATGAGAGTCTGCCATTGAGACCAGTGGAGCCTGCATTTAATTCTGAAATTTAAAACATTCTTGAGTTAGTGTAAACATCAGCAGAAACAACATGTCAGCATCTATACAAGTATTCAAGTGCTGTTTTTAAAAAAAATAAAAACCAGACAGTGCTAACCCAAAATGCCAGTACATATACAAAAGGCAGATAATTAAAAGAGGGGTTTATTTCAAATACACATTTAAAAGTACTGAAAAGCATCCTTTTTTAATATTTGTATATCATTGCTAGGGAAGGGATCTATGAGAAAAATCTCAATTATTTGCAATGATAAAGGAAGGGCACAGTGTTTTCTCAGATTTACTTGAAACCAGTATTTTTCCACTTTGGAGTCATGACATATACCTGCACATTCAAGCATGTTTCGAAGCAGTGCTGAGGAGTGGCTGTACCTCATCATTATGAAACATAATCCCTCTGTGCAAGTATTTCTGCATGATTCCTCATAAGCCATTTACATCCATTCATATTTTCAGTAAAAAGAAACAGAAAGTAAAATTCCTGGAGGGAATTATTTTGTCTTTAAACAACTCGATGATATTTTACATCACGGCAATTTACAATCATGCATTCGGAGATCCAGAGTCAATACAACTTTTTCATTTACTGTTAGAGTTGTGCCTGTCTTCAAACAGTTCTTTGCTAATTTTAGTGCGGATCTCAGGACTGGATAAAAGCTCCTTTATCTGATTCAGTCTGGATAACAGGGCCTGTGTTTCTCTGTGCAAAGCCTCCTTTACAAAGTCTGCTTCATGGCTCTTTCCTAGAGGAAAAGAACAATATAATACATTTTATAACAACTACTGTCATTTAGAATCATTAACGTATGGAGGTAAAGAGATTGTATCTGGTTTGGACAGTATTAAGCACCCAGCCTTTTGCCCATATTGATATTTTATAAAAAGGTACTTTGTCAGAAAAATATAGTTTACATCAACAAATGCTACCAAAAAGTAAAGAACAGTACAGCGTCACATTTAAGAGAAACTCCTGCCATATTACATACTGTGTAACAGTATCTGCAATGAATATCTGTAGTGGTAATTTTTAGCTTGGGATTGACTGCTGTTGACTAGGAAACAGCATGTGCTCTCACATGGAGTAAGCAGCCCTGCGGCAGTGCCAAACCCTCAGGCAGAGGACATCGCTTCCACTTATGGCAAGGCCTCTTCCACGGCCACGTATGACAATCCAAAAGGCAAACGCAAAGGGTTCAGTTTCTCTTCAAAAAGCCAGGAAGGGACTCTTGGTCTCAAGAGCCAGTGAAGACTGGCACTGCCTGCTTCACCATTCTTGTCTTTTTTCCAACGTCTGTCCCTCCCAGCATTCAACAGATTTTCAGCAGTGCAAGCACTTTTTAATCCGGCAGACAGCGTCCTTCGATTCAGAACAAACTTTTGATAAGCGACTCACAAAGCAGAGTGCCTGTCACCCAGCATCACTTAGCAAATTTCAGCGGGGAGCTGGGACATGTTTTTGTGGTTATTCTTGGTGGGATATTTGCTCCCAGGCTTTTTGCACAGTGCTCACTTGCTGTTATCATTGTCACCCTCATTCTTACTGCCGCTCGCTGCTTCTTCAGTTTTCACAGGGCTTCCATCAGTCTGTCTGGTTTTGTTTTGAGTTTCTTCTAAATATTGCTGTACGGCCTTCAGCACTGCGTTCTCCACCAGCCTTTTGCTGAGGCTCACCAGCTCTGCATCATCTGGCTCTGCTGCATGTTTTTCACCTATGCGTCACAACAGACAAGAGAAGGAATTCATTGCCACAGAAAGATAGTAGCCGTAAATGTATCAGGAGCCTCTGTCTGAGCTGGATTTTAAGTTATTAGCTGTCTCTTCCTGATTGTAAAAAGTAATTTCCCTCTCCTCACACTCTGAATCAAAAGTGCTTCATGAAGATATATACACTATAAATATTTCACTGCTCATTTTTATTGTAACACTCCAGTAAAAGCCACTGGCTAACACTATGAGCACCCACTCAGCTTTGAAGAGTAAGCATGCAAATTTAATTTCTTCTGGCCAACAATCACCTGTGCCATCTGGGCAAAGACAAAGAACAAGGCACACAGTGAATTTACGTTTTAGCAGCATTCTTAAATTTAGCTGCCCCTGTTTTGTGATTTTGCTTAACAAATCTAAAATCTTCTACCTATTTATTCGTTGCTTGTAATTCAAGAGTTTCTCATGGGAAAAATGACTAAAATACTCTAAGTGCAGGTTAGAAACTTTTTTCTAAACAAGGAGTAAAACGTGGAAAAAAAACATATACACCCTCCCTGTCTCTCTTCTAACTTAAAACTCTGACACTGAAGAAATGCAAGTTCCAGCAGTCTATTCTTAGATATTTGCTGATAAAAGCAAGCTGCCGGCATTTCCCCAGTTTGTTAAGAGTTCACATGAATAAACATATACAACAAAACAGCCGTACACATAGTAAGGATTCTCATACATCGTCATATGTATTTTCAAACTGTACTTTTCCATCAATCATTTTCCTAATAAATTATATAGCATACTACAGCATCCTGCTTTTATGAAGGATGCAATCCAGGCAAAGCAGATTTTATTGTCCGATTTCTACTGGCCGAGTAATTTGCCACTTTACAATTTCTTGCACTAGGTAAATAACTGTTTCCCTCCATCTGTATTTAGAGGCCATACTTTTAATGTCCTTTTCTGCAATTAGCATTCTGCAACCAGTAATAAAAGGCTGCTTAGTCACACACATCTGGTGAAAGAGATACTATTGTATGCTCTCAGCACAAAGCTCTGTACCGTTCAATTATCTAAATTTGCTCTTTTTCATGTATGTAAATTTATTCAAGTTTGCTAGCACATATAGATTATATTTCTGAAATACTTTTATTAGTCTTTCTAGTGGATTGCACAACCTGGGAGTGATTTCACTAATATAATTCATATGGGAATTTGAGGTGGGAGAGGGAGAGGTAAACAAAACTCTGAATTTTCAGAGGCAGTGACTTTATTAGCTGTTAATATGAGCATCTTGCTCTAGAACAGCAAGACAGACCAAACTTTTCCAGTTCCGGGCCTCCACAGCACTGTTACTGTGGGGAAGGAAGAACTGTGCTCTCCAGCTGAAGAGCCATCGGACTAGATCTGGGTAAAACGTTTCATTACAGTTTGGAAAGAGTTTTGAAAAATACTCTAAAAACTATTTTAAAAGGTAGCTATGGGAATAGTTTTGGTTAAAACAAAATTTAAAAAATAAAAAAAAAAAAACATTGAAAATGGGTTTAGCATTTCCCAGAAGAAACATTTAATGTTAATATGCAAGTCTGAGGGAGGCACAGACACTACTCTCAACACCACTCAACCAGTT